TAGACTCCAAGAGAGGATCTTGGAGGAGGCTCATAGCTCCAGATATTCCATTCACCGAGTTCCAACAAGACGTATAGCGATTTTAGAGAGGTATATTGGTTGGAAGGCATGAAAAAAGATATTGCTCAATTCGTTGCCAAGCGCCCAAATTGCCAATAAGTGAAAGTAGAGCACCAAAGGCTTGGAGATTCGGCTCAGACTATAAAATTTCCGGAATGGAAGTAGGAGAAGATTAATATGGAATTCATCATAGGCCTGCCAAGATCTCGCAGGGAGCGTGATTCTACTTAGATAATTGTCGATAGAATGACAAAGTCAGCCCATGTATTGCCAATAAAGACTACTTATTTGGCTGAGGATTATGCTAAGTTGTACCTTCAAGAGGTGGTAATAATTCATGGAGTCTCGGTCTCCATTATTTCATATAGAGGTGCACAATTTACTGCACAATTCTGGAAATCTTTCCAAAAAGGTTTAGGTTCAACGATGAATTTAAGCACTGTTTTTCACCCTCAGAAAGATGGGCAAGAAGAGAGTAATATCTATAACTTAGAATATATGTTGAGAGCTTATATGATCGACTTCAAAGGGAATTGGGATGATCACATATATCTCATTGACTTCACTTACAACAACAGTTACCATTCGAGCATCCAAATGGCTCCATCTGAGACTCTTTATAGGAGAAGATGCAGATCGGCTATTGGGTGGTTTGAAGTTGGTGAAGCATGATTATAGGACTAGATATAGTTAACCAAGATATGGAGAAGGTGAAATTGATTCAAGAGAGATTGAGAAAGGCACAGAGTCGTCAAATGTCCTAAACAGATGTTAAGAGAAGACCGTTAGAGTTTGAGGTGGATGAGTGGGTATATTTGAAGATTTAATCCATGAAGGGGGGTATGAGATTTGGTAAGAAGGTGAATATTAGTTCCCGGTACATTCGTCCTTACATAATCTCTAAGAGGGTTATCAATGTAACATATAAGTTAGAGCTACCCCAAGAGTTAGAGACAATTCATCCGGTATTCCATGAAATGCTTGGGTGACCCTTCATTGATTGTACCAGTTGAGAATGTTGGATTAAGGATAGATTATCCTATGAAAATATTCAGGTTCAAATTTTGGATTGTCAAGTTCGCAGGTTGAGGACTAAGGAAGTGACATCGCTCAAAGTCCTTTGGAGAAATCAGTTTGTTGAAGAAGCAACTTGGGAAGCTGAGGTAGATATGAAGAGGAGATATCCACATCTCTTTGAATCCGTAGAGAATGCAGATCAACGTACTAAATTCTCTTCTTAGCACTTTATAAGACTATGTGTAAGCATGTATTACTTGCTTTTATTGGTGAAGTGTTGAAATGACGTTACCACCCTTAGTTTAATTGAAAAAATCTCATTTCAAATACAAATGTTCCCAAGGGTGAAATATTGTAACATATCATAAACCAAAATATCTAGGAGTAAACAAAAAAACTAAGAAAAGTTATTTTTGGAAAGAATAGGAGAAATCTTGAAAACTTTGATAAATGTAAAAGTAGGTTTTTGGTCATGATCAAACAACCATAACTTCTAGCACAGGATGAGTTAGGTCTAGTTATCTATATGTTTGGAAATCCCTTGATGATATAGTTCCAACGCCGCCGAGTTTGTGAAATTCCGATATTGTATGAGGGAGATATGCCTATCGGAAGTTGGGTTATTGGATTAAGGAAAGTCCAATCCGGATTTTAGTATGGGTAAAGTAGTCTTTTCACCCTAGTATTTCCTAATTTGTTTTAAGGTTTTATAGGGGTTAAACCAATTCCCAATTAAGTTTTAGAAAATTTTAGAACGCTTAGGTCTTGGGGAGAAGAGAGAAGAGAAGAAGAAGATCAATAATTCTTCAACAACGCGAAGGTTTCGCTAGTGGAATTTGTCGGGGGTGATCCCTATCGAGTTATATGAGATCTTTTTGTGTTGGGTTCATTCACCCACACATCAATATATTTAATTCATCAAGTTTTGTATTGATTGAATGATGAATCTTGAAGTTCTTGATGAAGAATTGATTGAAATCTTGTTCGTAGAGTTGTAGTGTACCTTTAGTGGTGTTGATTCGTATTTTCAGGTTATTTTATGAGTCTAAACTATATATTAGTAAGGATATTAGTGATCCTAAGTGTTTAGGGGAAAATTCATTAAAGTTTAGGAGGTTTAGATTTGAAAATCAGAACAGAAAAGTCGAAAAACTCTTCTGACAAGCCCTGGGCGCCAAGGTCTCCTGGGATCCTATTTTTCCCCTATCTTTTCGTACGATTTCTAAGTGATGTACTAAAGTACATCTGAACATCATGAAATCATCCATAAACATGAGATCATGGTCCTTGAATCCATAATCCAATTCAAGGAAAGTTAAGATCAAAGTCAAAGAAGTTAAGTGTCAACTCTAAAAGTAGAGAAGCAAGTAAAAGAGAGTTCTTAAAGTTTTCAAGAGTATTAAACAAACATTTTTTTCTTCGTTGTAAGGCTCAAGCTACAAGTGATCAAAGAGTAAAGAGTTGAGTCTAAATCTCAAAAATTATAAGGGAACTAAGTATTCACTATAGTTAAGTTTCAAGTAACGCAAAGAGCAAATAGTAAGTTCATTTCTCAAAATCTATAAGGGAACTAAGTAGTCTCTAAGAGGTACAATTGTTTTCAAATTTTGAGAAATAAAGGAAGATAGACTTCGAAAAAGCCTTTGGCTAGTTTTACAAAATGAGAACTATGATTTTCAAGAGAGCTTTTAAAGCTAAGTTTGAGCAATTACCTCAAACCAAAGAAAAATTTGTATTAGAAACATATGAGCTAAGTATTTTGGGAGTAGTACTGAGCACCGATATGGGTATGCGAGTTCATATCAACCAAATTCTCCATAATCGTGTAGCCGGCCTGGACAGATAAAAGGTCATACTTTTTATATGATTCCTTAGTGTTTTTCTATCATAGACTAGTGGATCCGCTTATTAGTTTAAGTTTTATACCAACAGTAAGGTATAGATCGGTCCTCTTGTAACGTGAGGTAAGATGTTGTACCATCGCTTGGGCTCATAGTGATGGTTGTCAGTTAGAGAATCTCCAATAGAAATTATATTACTTTCGTATATAAGTAAAATTGAGTTTATTATTACATTATTTTTAATGAACTAAATGTTTATATTTTTTTACAAGATTTATATATGTATATTGCATGTGTTTTACTGCCTTATATTGAGTTATGACTTCTTATGTTGAACAAAGTCAAGATAAGTTCATTCTTACTTTTTTCAAGCTTAATAGTTGTTGTTTAGCATTCAAACTCGCATAATCGTACATTCAATGTATTGATGCCAATTGCCCGGTGTCGTTTCATGATGCAGACGCAGGTAACCAGAATTAGCATCTTACGCGTTGTTGATCCAGTTTGAGTAACCAGAGTTAGTGGCCTCTTTGCTTCCAGAAGACCCTTTGTTGCTTTCAGTATTTCCTTATAGAATGTTGATGGGTTTGTCCCAGCATTCATCTTAGTAGTAGAGGCTTCATAGACAAATAGATAGTTAGACAATCAATTTGGGTCTCTCTTTAATTTCGATATACATATATTGTTTTCAAGACTTAAGTGTCATTTGACTGAGACTATTATTAAAAGTGTTTTTTATGAGAATGTTTCCAGCTTTATATTTGAGTTAAGTCATCCGCTGAGTTAAGTAATCCAGACCAAGGGTTCACTCAAGGACAACAATGATCGTTGGGTGTCGTCCACGTCGAGGGTGTATGCTCCAGGCATAAAACCTTTTGTGCAGATGGGGCGCGCTGCGCCTGGCCCTGTCCATGTGACGCTTGACGAATTTTTTAACTCATTTTCTAATCCCAAATCGTTTAAACTTGATTTCTTCTGTCACTTTCACTTTACATTTATGTACCCACATCATATTTACAAGGACCTAATGCAATGAGTTCAAAAAACAACACCTAAATCATCAAGAAAGCTCCTTAATGTCAACTCATGTTCAAGAACGAAATCAATTCAAGAACAACATTCAAGAACATTCAAAATTCAATCTTTTTAAAACTATTTCACGCTGAATCAAACATGCTTGACACATGGGTGAACGAACATAACATTATGGAAGACTCACATAATTTTTTAGGAATCACCCTCGACGAAATCCAAAAGTTAATTCGACGATCTTGGTGAATCTTGCCCTTTTTCTTCATTTTTTCTCTTCTCTATTCTCCTTAGCCCTAGCGTGAAAAAACCCAACTTCTAAAACTGACTATGTTTTGATTTGACCCATATTAGATTCCTAAAAACTTATTAAATTAATAGGATAGTGAAAAGACTAAAATACCCTTTAAAATATCAAAATTGGATATTTTCTTAATCCAACAACCCAACTTTCAAAGGGCATAACTCCGTTATATGAACTCGAAATTGCAAAAACTCAACGATGTTGGAAAGATCTTGGAACAATCTTTCCAACCATATATTCAACTAAGTCATCTTGATCTAAGAGTTATGATCGTTTGAAGTTGGCAAAAACTCACTTTTTAGTTTACCTAAAATTTCCAGTTTTCCTTATACTTTCCCAAATAAGTATTTCCTTATCTTTAACTCTACTCTAGTTATTTCTCGTCGTGAGATGTTACACTGAGCCTATACCTGGGACTGGTCGACATTCGAAAATAATTATTGGTCCCTAAGAAAATCATTGAACTAACTCAAAACTTGACGAAACACTTACTCAGCAATATATAAACTAAAAATTAAATATTTCCTCATTTGTCTTAAAAATATATAAATTCTTAAATGTCTGGAAACAACAACTAGTCAATGCAAGGAAACTCAAGTCTTAAACATTACCAATGGAAATGGAAAAGACTCCTCAAAACATTACTGTCTATGAATCCTCTACTACTATGATGGAAGTTGGGACAAGACTTATGACATGGTAATAAGACTGAAAGTAAATAGGAACCCTCCGGAAGTAATGAGACTCACCAAAGCAAATTACGAATTGCAAGTGGTATCAATGGAGCGCCTATTGATGACCCTGAATTCCTGTATGGCATCATGAAAAGATGCAGTCCAAATTGTGCCAGTAAATTGTATGTACGAGCATGTAAGCAGAACTCTAAAACATAAACATATGGTTGAACGGATAAAAAATGAAACATACTTATCTCATCTCAACTCAACCCAACTCAAGGATACTCACTCAACTCAAGAATAGTAATACAACTTAAGATGAAAGCAATAATACCAACACTACAAAAAAACTCTAATTGCCAACAAATTTTATGAACAACTTAAGTTGGTTAGTATTCTACTAACAAATTACCAACATATTTCTAACCGAATAATATTTTAAAACTTAAAAATGAAAGTCTAACATATTACCAACATAAATCTTACTAACTAAGTATTTTAGTTGGTAAATACGGCGGGAAAAACGGCATCAAATTTAGCAACCTTCTATCAATGGATTACCAAAAGAAATATTACTAACGCACACCTTTTGTTGGTAATATTACCAACGAAATATATATCGGTTTGTTAATATGACAAAAATTATTTATATAATTTATTAACATATTACCAATGAATTACTAACCTAACATTTACCAACAAAAAGATTGTGTTGCTAAATTTACCAACCAAATATAAATGTGTTGGTAAATTAGTAATGAAATGTAATTTGTTGGTAAAATGGTCAACCAATATCAAATTAGTTGAAAATTTTATCGACGAATAAATATTGTAATTAGTAAATTACTGACATCATTAAAATAGTTGGTAATATACCAACTGATCACTAATTCATTGATAAAATTTATCAAAATATTAATCGTTAATTGGTAATACTACATATGAATATTTAGTTGAATAGTAACTATTACCAACTCTGATAAAATTTATTGGTAAATTAATAATTACTAACTTATATTTAATAGTTGGTACCAATTGAAGTTAATTTTTTTGGTAAGTGAGCGTCTAGTGTTGACGCTTTCATACTTAATTTGTGTCATTAGGTGTTTTAACTTTTAACTTTTAACCAAAACTTGACTTTGTTGAATATTTTTGGTAAACGTCAGTGTCATTAGCTTTGAAAGATCGTTTTTTATCTAACGGGAAGGTTGATCCATATTTTTAGGCTTTCATTTTTGTTTGTACCGTTATGTGTTTTAAATTTTATGCTTAGGACAAAATTTGACTTTGGTCAATATTTTTGTGAACATGCTCAGATGAGTATTTCGTTAGTGTAATAACTCCAAAGGTCATTTTTTATCTAGTAGGATGGTTTGTTTGAGTTTTAAGGCTTTCATTTTTACTGTGTGTCGTTATTGTTTAGCATATAAATTTTAGCAAAAATTTAACTTTGGTCAATATATTTGATAACGTACCCAGATAAGACAGTTAGATGTGAAAAATCATTTTGATGTAGTAATATAGAGGGTTTGGATTTTGAAGTTTCCGTTTTAGTTTATGTCAGTAGACATTTTAGATTTTAAGTTTTGGCCAAAATTTCACTTTAGTCAAAATTTTTGGTAATCGTGCTCGAATTGAGATTTTCTCATTGCAGTTAGCCATATAAGTTTAATTTTGATCTCATAGGATGGTTGGTTCAGGATTTGAGACTTATTTTCAGTTTGTATAGTTAAGCGTTTTTAACTTTTAACTTTTGGCTAAACTTTGAATTAGATCAAAAAAAATTTGGGAACATGCTCAAATTTGAATTTCGTCAGCGTGGTTAGCTATGGAAGGTCATTTTTTGCTTTATAGGATGGTTGGTTTGGATTTTGAGGTTTTTATACTCAGTTTGTACCATTAGGCGATTTCACTTTTAACTTTTGACAAAAATTTAATTTTGCTTAGAATTTCGATAAATATGCTCTGATGAAAATTCTGTCAGTTCAATTAGCTTTGAAAGGTTATTTTTATATCTAACAATATGGTTGTTTCAGATTTTGAGACTTTCATTTTCAGTTTGTGTTGTTAGGCGCTTTAACTTTTGGCCAAAATTTATACTTAGTCAATATTTTTTGTAAACTTGCTCAAATTAATTTTTTTGATATAATGATATGTGTCATATTGAGATTAATTTAAATTGTTATCATAGATTTTGCATTGTTTTATTCAAATATGATTTATAAAATTGATTAATATTCTTAGATTTATATTCATGTTCTTAAATTTTTAAATGCAATAAATTAATAAATGTTTTACTAATTGAATAATTATTCAGTTAATAATATTCTGAACATATTGTCAATCAATTACTAAACTAACATTGAACTTGAATGACATATTACCAATAAACTAACAATCAATTAGTAAATTTATTAGAAAAATAAAAAATCATACTAAAGTATTTTAAATTTATTACAAAGAAGGCTTGTGGTGTATTGGTAAGTATTTTTGCATCTTTAACCAAGAGGTCTTAGGTTCGATTTCCGTTGGGCACATAATCATCTTTGTTAGGGAGTGTTTTACCAATCAATGTGGGACTTTCCGGGGTGAATCCAGATTTAGTAGGGCTCTAATGTGGGTACCGAACACCGGATAGAAACTCAAAATAAAAAACTAAAAAAGTATTTAAAATTTATTGGCAAATTACCAACACAAATTTTTTGTTACTAAAATTATCAACCAATTACCAATGTATGAATCGAAAAAAAAATAAATTACTAACTCTTTTTCAATTCGTTAGTAAAGGTACTAACGATATACTAACAAAAAATTAATTGAAAAATTTACCAACGAAAATTTCAGGGCCATATTTCAAAATTTTGTAACATCTTTGGGTGTTTACCAACTGATTTTGGTTGGCAAATTTACTAACAAATTAAAATAGTTGGTAATATTTACCGACGAGCTTTTTAGCAACGGACTAATATAAGTTGGCATTTGGTTGATAACTCAATTTGCCAACCGATTTAATCAATTTACCAACGACTTTTTTTGTTGGTAATTGAGATTCCTTTTGTAGTGGCAATATGCAATATAGAAAATGTCACTCCCATTTTGAGAGATTCTCTAATCGACAACTATCACTATGAACAATATAATGATACAACGTCTCACCTACGCTTCCAGAACTGTTCTATATCTTGTTTGAGTATATGATTTTCTGGTGGATCCACTAAGTTATACTTAAAAGCTAAGAGAAATCTTCTACAAAGTATGATCATTTACCCAAGTTGACATACATGGTTTATGAGGATTTTGAGTGTTTAAATTCATCCCCAACTATGTGCTCAATACCACTCCGAATAATATATATAACATGCTTATATGTTTAAAACATAACTCTTTCTCAATTTGAGATAATCACTCAAAAGATTTTCTTATTCTCGTACTCGTTTACTCAAGTCTTAAAAAAAGTTATAAAAGACTTCTCAAAAATGACTCAAAAGATTTTCTCAAACTTTACTCTTAATTTTTATTTTAATTTAAAATGTGAATTCAAGAGTTACGATTTGGATATATGGAATCTCTCGATGATTTGATAAAATTTGGATAGTTATAATTAGAAAGAGAGCGAAGACTCGATCTAAAAAAACTCAATTAGAACTCAAATGGAAGAGGAACAGTGGCAGGCATCCTGGCGCAGAGTGCCAATCCCTGAACTTAACAAATTCATTACTTCTAGTCTAAGTGGCGCACCTCCTTAGCATGTACCCAGAAAATCTGATAATTTTTTTCTTTTCGATTCTTTATCTTAATTTACCTAAAATTGATTGATTTCTTCCAAACTCTCTTGAATTCATAAACCCAACATAATTCCTTGAAAATACACTCAAATTACATTTAAAAAAATTAACCCTCAACTGCAAGACCCTCACCTTAAGAAATTAACAAAACTCCATTGTTAAAAAATGAGGCAGATAACCTCAAGAAACTCATCAAGAACCTCAAAATACACAATCTCATGAACGTATTCAATAATAATACTCATGGTTGGTGTAAGTTTAAATAAATTCATTACTATGAAAACTTACATACCTCGAAAGAATCAAGTTCTTAGCAAAAATTCTCAAAACTCGATGAAGCTCGAAGTTTTCTCCCTTTTTCTTGAACTTTGCCATAACTTTTCAAACGTTTTTAGATCGAATGAAAATTCACTTGATATATTTTGACCCCTTACCTTAGGTGGGTAAAACTTGCTAGGATATTGGGGTAAGAAAAAGACCAAAATATCCCTCTTCAAAACGGATGAATTTCCAACTATATAGATTGCACTTAAAAAGTCATATCTTCTTCATACGAACTCAAAATTTAGTCGACTCGACGACGTTAGAAAGATGAATCAACAATATTCAACTTGATATCTCATGGCCCTCTAACTCATTACATGCACTCCATTGTAGATTAAATAATGATTTGATTGGAGTTTAGGGTGTTTTATCCTTGAATATAAGAAAGTTTAATGCTATTTAAAGTTTAATTTATGATTAATATTGGATGAAAATTGAGATTGCTGCCCTCAGGGTCGATAAATCAATTTTGAAGAAAAATTTTAATTTCTTCTCAAGGCTTGAGTTTAAATTTAGTTTGGTTCTTTTATATCACTATATATGTGAATCATCAGACTCATTTAAGACTATGCCCACATTATATTAATGATTGGACCAGATTCTTGTCAGTATACTAACAATTTACATGTAGATTTCACGAGAGAATTGGATAGGCTTATTGTGTTGTTATTGTTAATGTTTATTGTGCATAAAAACTCAAAATACGCAAGGAGTTGAAGTCCATGCTATGTTGTATTGCGTTTATAATTATATATTATTTATTTTACAAAGTTGGGACTTTCTTATTCATATTTCATATATTAGAACTAGGAAATGATCCAACTATCCGGAGCCTAAAGGGTACAAAATATTAATAAAAATTTCAAAACAATATATAAATTTTTATATTAGCCAAAACGGTAAAATTGTTGCATCAACAGCGACTTACTCCATCGAAAAAAGCAAAATCGTTGCCTTTGCTGCAATTTTGCAAAATGTGACTTTTTAAAAATAAAATGAAATAGCTGCCTAGGCAGCAATTTAAATTTTTTTTGAAAAAAAAAATTCCATCATTTTTTTTAAAAAAAAATCACATTTTGCAAAATCGCTGCAGAGGCAGCGATTTTGCTTTTTCTGGTGGACTAAGTCGCTGTTGATGCAGCGATTTTGCCAGTTTCGTTAATATAAAATTTTATATACCATTTTTGAATTTTTGTTAATATTTTGTACCTTTAGGCTCCGGATAATACACTTGTTTTTTTTGGTGAAAAGAGGACATATTGAGGTGGATGCTTTGAGACCTCAATTGTGTGACACGTGATATTTGAACGCAAGGGTGAGCTACTTCTTTTGAGTTGCCACGAATTCTTTTTAGTCCATCTTTTCATATTTAAACCTTTTAGACTTATGTATTTTTGAGCTTTGAGGTTCCATCCCTTCTATCTAGCCAATTAATGTTTTAGTACTATGACTTTCTGGTTCTAGAGAGAAAATATTTCTGCAATTACTTATGACTGTATCTTATTATTAAAAAAGTATTTTAAATCTTGATTCTACTTATTTTTAATTGCTTTATCAATGGTGTGATGGGAATAATTTGATTCTCCTATCAAGGATGAGTGTAAGTGTCACTCACAACAGATCTAGATGGTGACATAAAAATATTAAAAATAGTGTTGGAAAAAATTAAAATAAAATGAGTTAATTTTTTTCATAAAAAGTCAAATATTTTTTGTGAGAAAGAACATTTGGTAATATGTTGACGCATTTACCAAAACCTAGATGAAACTATATATATAAAAGAAAATGTGATTAGATAGTTAATATGAATGCTTGAACATTGAGATGAAATTAAAGGATTAATTACCTGAATATACAACTTAAGTTTACATATTCTCCATATTTCCCTTCTTTTTTGAAAAATTACTAAAATCTCTATTTTTTAATAAATTTAATCTAACAGATACATTAATAAATTAGAATCCTAATTAATATAAACCAATTAAATCTTACCCCTAATTATACTCTTTATTTTCCCCAAATAAAATACCCATTTACACGACTCTCATAATTAATACTAACCAATTAAATATTACCCCTTTTTTTTCTTTTTATTTTCCCCAAATAAAGAAACCTTTTACACCACTCCCACTAATCAATTACTCAACTGTTCATCTTCTTAATTTTGAAAATCAAAATCTCTTTATTCCGTCCGTCGTCCTTCCTCTAAGATGTCCGTCATTTTTGTCTACCTGTCCACCTTCGAAAATCAAAGTTGTGCTCTCCGTCCGTACGCCTTCGTCTAATCTGTCCGCCATTTTTTTCTAACAATGGATAACCAAAGTTCGAAGAATCATAAAATACAAAAAGAGGACATGCAAAGACACCCAAGAAGAGGGGTAGAAAGCTTGCAATGGCCATATTCAGACCTCCACTGCCATTGGTACGTATTTCGATTTTATTTATTTTTTTTAATTTTTTTGTCACATGCAATGACTTTTTGTATTATCAAAAAAAATATTTTTATATTTTTTAGATTATTTATCTGATTCAGAAAATACTATTTTTTTGGTACATGTTGTTTATTAAGTATGACTAATGTATAAATAAGTTGAAATTCAAAAAAAATTATGTAAATCAAAACCCAGTTGCCCATCCTCTTGGTTGTCACCTCCTTTTGGGATTTATGCTTAATAGATCTTTAATAAGAATATAATTTTAATTTCCTGTATCAATTATATTTTTTAGATTATTTATCTGATTCAGAAAATACTAACAGACTCATAATTGTAGTATGTATAAATAAGTTGAAATTCAAAAAAAAATTATGTAAATCAAAACCCAGTTGCCCATCCTCTTGGTTGTCACCTCCTTTTGGGGTTTATGCTTAATAGATCTTTAATAAGAATATTTTTAATTTCCTGTATCAATTATATTTTTTAGATTATTTATCTGATTCACAAAATACTAACAGACTCATAATTGTAGTTACACTTATGTATCAAGTGTAACTTTGCATTTTTTGTATCATGTTAGTATCAAGTAGACAGACTTATAATTGTAGTTACACTTATGTATCAAGTACGTCTTTGCATTTTTTGTATCAACTATAACTTTGCATTTTTTGTATCATGTTAGTATCAATTAGACAAACTTATAATTATAGTTAAACTTATGTATCAAGTATGACTTTGCATTTTTTGTATCATGTTAGTATCAAGTAGACAGACTAATAATTGTAGTTACACTTATGTATCAAATACGACTTTGCATTTTTTGTATCATGTTAGTATCAAGTAGACAGACTTATAATTGTAGTTACACTTATGTATCAAGTACAACTTTGCATTTTTTGTATCATGTTAGGCTATAAAGTGTCTGTTAAGTATCATTTTGACTGACTTATGATATGTTGTTAGAATTATGTATCAAGTTTATTTTTGCATTTTATGTAACATATTAAGCTTGTTGGTTATATTAAGTATCAATATCACTTTTTTCAATTGCAGAATATAAATTATGTGGTTAAACAAATTCTCAAACACTCTCTTAAGTTTGGTTGTACTTACAATTCAAATATATTAAGAGACTTAGAGTTATCAATGGGGGTTGAGGGTACCGAATTATTTAGGAATACTATATTTGGTTCATATTTGAATATTCCTAAATGTAACTATCAAGGTCAGATCACCAAGTGTTTACTTCTTTTAGAGGTGGAGCTAATCTAGCCGAGGAGCTTCACATTCGACATGCTAAAGGAAAATATCTTAACCTTTACTATTAAAGAATTTGCGATTATTACTGGATTGAAATGCAGTGGAAATATTAAGAATTTTACATATCCAGATTCAAAAAGAAGTAGGATAGTTAGAGGTATTTTCCGTGGCCTAATCACAGTGTAAATAAACAACGTCTGGTAGATCGATTCATGTTGGGTGGTTGGGATAATATTGATGATCAACTTCAGATGGCTATCATGTTTTTCATCCACTCTTTTGTATTATCTCAACTTGGTACTGCAGCAATTCCAATTGAAGATTTTTTAATGGTTGAAAATGGCACTTATCGGCAGTATCCGTGGGGTCAACGGGCTTTCAGAAGTTTAATAAATTCACTTAGACAAGAGTTCAAATCTGAGAAAAAAATGTATCGCTTAAATGGTATGCCGTATGCACTTAATGTATGGATATATGAAAGTGCTTTTGTGTTGGATAATGAGATTGCGGTTAAAGAACAAAATGTTATTCCAAGAATTTGCAATTGGAAAGTTGTGGCTGAAAAGCCCAAATTTGAGATGTTTATGGAAAGCGTTTTCACTGAGGTAATTAATATATAAATGTGTAGTATTTTTTTGGTACTTATCGATACATTTTTTGTTCGTTCTAACAATGATTCAATATTTTGTTATTTTTCAGCATAACTGTACAAATATTCAGCCAACTGGAGAGGAATGTACAACACTGCAATTACCTCAATCTAGTCATGTAACTCATGATGAACCTGGTACATCAAATGTTAATATTGATGTTGGGAAGCCACAAGAGGTTCCTGTATTTGAAGATTTTCCATCTGAACCACCGGATCAATTGTTGAGGATATCAACACGAGTCTCTAGCACAGGATCTACCTTACCACCGAAGAGAAGAAAGGTTGTACATCCACATAAAACAAAGGTTTCCAAATCAACAACAGCAGAAAAGCAACCAAATCAGAATGTTTACACTCCAGATTTACCAACTTCTCAAGCTAACAATGTATCTAATGTTCCTGTAAATTCAGATTTTCGAAAAGTAATTTTCGAAAATTCACAATTAGAGGGACTGAAACAATACTTGAAGGGTATGTGAGTATTACAATCATATATTTTTTTGTGAAAATCATGTATGTTTTATAATTATTGTTATTTATTATGAATTCTTTATAAATTGTGTAATTTGCGTATAGGTTGACCAACAAGTTGGTTATCTTATGGAGTTGATAAAAAAAAATCATTCTGAGTTGATGAAAGTTGTTGGCAAGAAAGACAACAAAATTGAAAAGGTATTATTTTTCATTTTTTTGGTTTCATTTTCATTGGCACTTATCAATTTTCTTTTTTTGAACAGAAACATAATGTTGATCAAGATATTGGTGGATCTGCTGTTGATGCTGATGAACAGGTTAATGATATCAATATTGAAAAAGTTTGTATATGACACTTAATTTAATAGAATTATGTATTATGTTTTGGTATTGTACAGACAGATAAAGTGGACCAACAATCTATTTCACCTAATCACATGGATTATTCAAAGGAACAACATATGGAGGATGTCATAGAGGTTATACTCTCACCACACCGTAGTCATGTTTTGATTGAAAAAGTTGTTCTTAATAATGAAAATGTAAGTACAAATA